GGTTGGCCCTGGGTCAGGGGGTGGGGGGGTGGGGGTCACCCCATTTCCATGTCGGGGAGGGCACAGATGGGCACGCCAGACCCTCTCCCCGTTGGCTGGGGGGGCGCAGGGCTGGCACCCCAAAGGGCGCTGAGCTGGGGGTCCCTGCTGGGGGGCGCGGGGGGGATCCCAGCCCAGCGGAGTGCCTGGGTGAGGCGATTCCCGTCAGCCCGGCCGGGCTCAGCTCCCAGCCCCAGCAGGCTGGCCCCGCGCCTGCGTTCTGCCGGCTCTGCCGCTGGCCCCAGGCCCTGCAGCCCGCTCGCTCCGGGGGGGTCTGGCCCCCGCAGCCCCCGGGGTCTGACGCCGGGTGCCTGCCCGCAGTCTGGCTGACGACGCAGAACCATAGCACGCTGGTGACAGAGCGCAGCGCCGTCCCCTTCCTCCCTGTCAACCCCGAGTACTCGGCCACACGCAACCAGGTGAGCCCCCCTCCAGGCCCCGTGATGCCCCCCCTTGCGCCCAGCCCCCTGCTCACCCCCTTCCTCACGCTTCCCAGGGCCGGCAGAAGCTGGCCAGGTTCAACGCCAGGGAGTTCGCCACCTTGCTCATCGACATCCTCGGGGAAGCCAAGCGCCGGCAGCAAGGGAAGAGTCTGCTGAGCCCCACAGGTGAGGGACGGGCTGCAGCGAGGGGGGGCCAAGCATCCCCTCCACCCTGTGCTCAGCACTCCCCTGCCCTCCCCTAGACGCCCTCGATTACTCGCTGCGGAGCCAGAGCGACCTGGACGACCAGCACGACTACGACAGTGTCGCCTCCGACGAGGACACGGACCAGGAGCTGCTGCGCAACGCCTCCCGCAACAACCGTGCCAGGGTGAGCCCCGGACCTCCGCCCCAGACACCCCTCCGGCTCCGGGATCCCTGTGCTGAGCCCCTCTCCCCGCAGAGCATGGACTCCTCCGACCTCTCGGACGGCCCCATCACGCTGCAGGAGTACCTGGAGGTGAAGAAGGCTCTGGCTGCCTCTGAGGCCAAGGTGCAGCAGCTGATGAAGGTGAACAACAGCCTGAGCGATGAGCTGCGTCGGCTGCAGCGTGAGGTGGGTGTGGGGCCGGTGGGACCCCCCCTTGGCATACCCCCCTCCCTGCTGATCCTTCCTCCTCCACTGCTGCAGATCCATAAGCTGCAGGCGGAGAACACACAGATCCGGCAGCAGACAGGTCCCGTTCACCCAACCCCGGCCCCCAGCGAGCGGCCAGAGCACGGGCACCCCCCAGGCATGGCCCCCCCGCACCGCCGGGACCGCCAGGCCTTCTCCATGTACGAGCCAGGCTCAGCGCTGAAACCCTTTGGGCAGCCGGTGGAGGAGCTGGTGACGCGACTGCAGCCCTTCGGCACCGGCGTGAGTGTGCTGGGGTGGGCGGGTGGTTTTTGGGGTGCAGTGGTTCCCCCAGCCCCCTGGGGCGCTGGGTCCTATCCCCGCGGAGCCATAACCTTTCGTGTGTCGCCAGGAGGTGGAGGACGAGGCTCTGTACTCCATGCACATCCCGGCCAGCGTGTACCGGGTAAGGAGGCCGCAGCGGGGGCGGCTCCTGCATGGGATGTGGTGGCCGTCACCCTCCTGGGACG